TAATTAAGGTAAAGTGAAATGTGAATAGGAAAAATGGAAATGGGGGTTTTTAAGGGGGTTAAAAAAGGGAATGAAATGAAAAATAAGAAAGTAAAATGGATGGGAATGCAAACGCATTCCAAAACAGGAGCAAAATGAGACAAAGGGGACGAATGTATAATTAGGTTTTTAAGAGTGTAAAAAAAAGAGGAAGGACGAAAATGTAGAAAACCGTAAACACGAAGGAATGCAAATTGAATTATGATTCATAGGCTAAAGGTGGAACAGAACAAAGAAAAAAAAATTATATAATTTTATATTAAGAACAGTATATTTTATAGTTGTTCCTCCTCAATACAAGGTTATAGATTGTTCATTCTTATTGTTATTTCTTCACATATGGGTGTGAATTGTTTCTTACTTTTTTCCTCGTTTTCCGAGTGTCGTTTATTGCAGATGAGATTATTTTTAACTTTTTTTTTGAAATATAATAAGTTTTTGAGGTCGGACTTCCTCTAGATATCATGAAACTGCTGGCAGGAATAGTTGTGTTTAAAAATCGGATAAAGTATTCATTTCACCTCGCAGCTGCCGAAGCTAGACTGGACCGGAAATGAACTCATTTTCACGGATAATACACTCGTTTGTGGGTTTGAGTGAAAGTTGTGCAAGCGGTGGTTATGCACAAGTACCTGATTTTTTGTTTCGGTGATGGCTTTCACCCAGTATCTAATTTCTTGATTAGCTGTGTAGCCAATAAAACCCACCTGCCCCTATCCTTTGTTCCTACTTCCAAGCAAGATCACAGCTATTCTCCAGTTGATATTTCCTCTCTACCTCCTGCGACTTATACAGACACCTCCCGTCTTTCTCCATCTTCCACTATCCCTACTTCTATCAAGGCATTCAAACTGAAACTGTAGTTCTATTTCAAAACCGTCCGTAATCCGAGGCAGCGCACCACTGGAATCACAAATCTCACCCTAACCCGATCAAGCCGAGTTTTGATGGTTGTCACTTTATTTGGCTGGAACATATCGCTGCTCATTTTGGAGCTTTACGAGTTTTTTGCACACATTAGGCATTTTCCTCTTCTGCACAGAGATTGTTCCTGTATTCCCACGTTTCTCGAATATCGATTGTTGTAAGTGAAGTAATTTTCATTCTTTTTTGTCCATTTCTTTTAATGTGTGTAATGGATGAGATAAGTTGAAATCCTTTCCTTCAGCTCAGGTTACTTTTTTACCGAGGTCTCAGTGTAATTTTGGGAATCAAGTCATTTCTTTCGATTCTTAAGCAGTGCTCCAGATAAACTCAGTGTTTCTTTTTTTTTTATTTGGTCGCTAACATTATAATCGTTTAGGTTTATTCAAATTATACGAGTTGTTGCCGGTTACGAGTTATTACTAACTGCGAATTTGTTGTGACTTTAATGGATCCCTTTTTTTCTGCAAGTTGTGCATAAGCACACTTGTAATATCTGAATTAAAGTAGTTCTTAGTCTGGATCTCCATATGTGCAACGGGCGCCTTTTCTACCTGCCTGGTCCTCTTGAAAAGAATGTTAGGATCAGATGTTCTCTTTGCTAGAAGCACTGGACAATGCATCAGTTTCAAGATGTCTTCCATCCGTGTCAACACATCACCACTGCTGCCACTGGTTGTGACAAGGCAAGCAGCGTACACCTTCCTTTGTGTCGGGAAAGCCCGAAAGTTTTAATGTAAATTTGTCTGAAGATATATTATCTTGCTTGTAAGATGCAGGAAGTTTAAACTTTATGACATCTAATTAAGTTGAAGATATATGATTTTGTGTATTAGATCACAGGTGTTGTAATTTTGTGGTGTCTAATTTAATTAGAAATATATTGCTTTGTTTATAAGAACCAAGAAAATATAAATTTGTGCCTGTTTATTTATGTG